TCCCCACTCCGGTTGGTGCAGTGTTAATCCCCACTCCCCACTCCGGTTGGTGCAGTGTTAATCCCCACTCCCCACTCCGGTTGGTGCAGTGTTAATCCCCACTCCCCACTCCGGTTGGTGCAGTGTTAATCCCCACTCCCCACTCCGGTTGGTGCAGTGTTAATCCCCACTCCCCACTCCGGTTGGTGCAGTGTTAATCCCCACTCCCCACTCCGGTTGGTGCAGTGTTAACCACCACCACCACCCCCCGCCCCCACTCCGGTTGGTGCAGTGTTGACCACCACCCCGGTCGGTGCAACGTTAACCCCCCCACCCCAATCTGGATGGTATAGTGTTGACCCTCTCCACCCTGAGTGCCGTAATGTTTAAAACCACCTCCTCCCCCGAGTGTGGAGGCGGTAGTGTTAACCCCCCCACCCCCAGATTGTAGAGAGGTAAACCACCTCCTATCGTGGTCGTAGAGAATTAACCCCAACCTTCATCTCCCCCCGCCATCCCAAGGGTTGAGGAGGGCTACCCTTCTCCAGGAGCTTGTAGAGAGGTAATGCACCAGGATTGTAGGATGCGAGAGAGAGGTGCTGTGAAAGGGTAACTCACATCCCCCCCCTACAGGTGGGCAAGAGGAGTAACCCAACACACCACCTCCCCACTACAGCAGGTTGAGAACACAGGGGCCCAAGGTCAGAGATGACCTTCTTCCTTTCTACCCCCACCCCCAAAGGTCTTGGACTGATAGGACACCAGCCCTGCTTCCCCTGCCCCACAACCCCAGAAAGGAAAAATTCCAACCCCAACACAGAACAACCCCTGTACCCAGGACTGGGACAGTCTGATGCAGGAGAGCACCCAGGGTCTGAGAGAGTCTTTAGTCATTGTCTAGGGAGGTTCAGCTCTGCAGCACTGCCCCAAATCAGGATCTGGAATCTGTGAAAATGATTTTGCAAATACTGAGATGCAGTGGGATCCCAAAGTTCTAGTCTGGATGATGAATCTGCATGTGAGCAGTGAGGCTACAGTCTAGGAAAGTATCACTGCGTTTATTGCCTGGGAAGCATCTGTTGGATTAGCTTGAGAGTTGGATCTGCAGTCATAGCCTAAAGGAGAAGACCACCAAACCAAGGGGAAAAATGTTTTGATCCAATAAAAAATCTCTACCTAAACACAGAATGCAAACACAGCAGATCCTTTCTAAAGAAGTGGTTTGTGAATGGTACGTTAAAAATGAGTGGCAGAGAAACTTTGTTTCTTCACAATGTAAAGGGAATTGAACTGTTTTGTATTCCACAGAATGTTCAATCCTGAAGGTTTTTTTATTTACATAATGTGCTTGAAAAGCCATCACTTAGGTTCAAGAGTCTCCAAGCTCCAACTGTTGGAGTCTCTATTTCGGCACAAGGCATGACTTTGGGGTCTCGTATTCAACTACTAGCAGGCTACTGATACGTTTTCCACACCTTCTGCATCTGGGATCATTTTTCAATTTTAGATGTTCGTTTGAATTATTACCTGCACAAAATCTCGGGTCTCAGTTCTATGTCTAACTCTTCGGGTCCTATTTGTGAAGGAGTGTTAAGCTTGCAACAGAAGATTGCCAGGCGATGCACTTAATGGTGAATCAGTTCTCTTGTGATGAACATGTAAGCACATTTATGCCAAGTCTGCTACAATGTGTTAAACGTTAATTTTGTGGATTGCTGATATTTTAATATGCTTAAAGCCAAATGTTGTCAACATCATCTCCATCATAAACACTGTCAGTTTATTTTGTAGTTGTAATTAATATCAGTGCAAAGAAATAGCAGCCAGTGGAGTTTTTAGCAATGCCTTTGAGAAGACAACTAACAGTTTAACTTCCCAGCAGATTCCTAACAGATTATTACTTTTCACTTTCTCAATATTCAGTGATCACCTTGTTACTATGTATAAAAGAAATACTGCAGAATACTAATCGCCAATGAAAATGGAGGAAATGTCATTATCTGGCCCGGAGAACAGCAAATCTGAGGTAAGGAGCTGGAGATTTGGGAATTGATTTTTTTTTTTTGATAACTGTGTTCTGGTTGTACATACTTGCTTGACTTTAAGGGGGGCATGAATATACTGTATATCCAATGAGTGATGTTGCATGTGCTGAGAGAGAGAATATGCACTTGCTGGGATTGAATGCTGTGAAAACAAATATAGTTATGCTCTGTGAAGGAGTATGTGTTGCATATGATATGTGTGCTTATGACACAGAATAGTGGATTCAAAATAATCAATGTACGGGTTACCTTAGCATCTCTTAAGCCACAACCATTGCTTTGCGTTGCCTATTATAGAATTGAGTCTGGCAGTTTGTTAGTGATCATCTTGTGTTTTATTTCTGTTATGGGTTTGGGGTGTGTTTTGGGCTTTTCTTATGACTGCAATCTTCTCCCAGCTTCTTGTCATTGATGACCTCTTTGATGCCCCTTAGTTTTATTACAGTCTTTGAACACACGTCCAGCCATCTCTTCGTGTGTGTCTGTTTTTCTCAGTTTGAGTCTGTCTGCCACTCTGTGTCTACAATTGACCCCATTTCTCTCTGTGCTTTTCATGCACTCATAGATGACCTCCCTTTATCTGGTCATGTGTTTCTAAGGATATATTCAAGGTACTGGTTTCATGTTTGAGGCAGTAATCAAATGAAATTGTTTAGTCAGATGTAGCTGAATTACCTGCTGGGAAGCTGAGCTTCTTCACCAGGGCGCCAGTTTTACAGGTTCTACTGGTACCTATAAACATGGTGTTTCTGCAGTTGGTTAACTACAATAGCGAAATAACCATTTTCTCCCACGACAGAATCAATTTTAGTCTCTGAATATGTTGCCACTCTCATTCTGATGCCTGACGTGGAACATATAGCAGGAGTATGCTTTTTATTTTCATGTTCATCCCATTGGCTGACTATTCTTGGATATTTCTCAGTTTCTTCTTATTTCCCAATTTCAACATTCGCTTCTTCACGTGGAAAGCTCTTTATTTGCTGTGGTCTCCTGACCCACACTATCAAGCAAAAAGCTTGGATTGATGCTATGACTGCCATGATGCAGGGGAGAAACAAGCAAGACGTCTACTTCCTTTGCCTAAGGAGCACTTTTTCCTCATCTTCTAAACTTTGGTGTTCTGAGAAACTGACATGGATAACTGTTTGGATTCGCTCTGCGAGATACAATGAGAATTCGTTTTGTCCATTTATTTGCGAAGCTGTATGCATGAAAACTCCTAACTGCAGGTTTGTCCAACATTTAATGTTGCAATGATACCATTTTCTGCAATTAATTGAGGGATACATTGAACTCTTTCACCTGACCAGCCATCTTTGTTCAGTCCCAGGCATTTGATCTTCTCCTGTGAAGCTCACTCACAGATATGTGATGTTCTCTGTAACTGAGTGTACAGATTCTTGGTCTCTTCGAGTTGAACATAGTCTCCAATGATGACGGATAATTTCAAAGTGAGCTTGTACTCTGCCAATCCACTGGTAGGAGATCAATGGGACAGCACCGTCTTTTTATATTTTAGAGCATTCTAGAGTCAAAGGAAAGAATACTTTTGATCAAATCTTGAACTTTGAAGGAGATTATTCTTTGGCCACAAGTGAAGGTTGTCATCCAGCGACCTGACAGCTCCTCAATATGAAAAGTGAATAGAGTGGCTCCAGATTTGCTGGTGAGTACGCTAACTGATTCCAACTTTTACTTTTAGTCAGTGTTTCCAAAGTGCGTGCCAGTCACTGGGTGCGTGCCAGTCACTGGGAATTGAATCTGTCCATGTGGACCACTCGCACTGACTAAACTTGGAACAATTTTGCTCAGCTTCTCGGCATCATTTAGATGGGCCTAAATTTCTGCTCTCTAACCTAACAGAACAGATGACGAGAGAAGTCAATTCATAAGAAGGTCGTTTTGTGCAAACTCTGCAGCCATGCCCAAACTGAAGAGGGTATCGTCAGAGAAAAAACAGAAATACTGGCGGCAGCTAAAACGAGACCAGAGACAGATGAGCAGAGAGCACAGTGACCAGGCCATGGATTTTGACGCTACCCCTGAAAGTTCCACAGAGCAGGCCAGTACCACAACACCCTCTTCTGTTCTTGTCACCAGGTTACATAACTCGTTGTCCCAGTGTTGAATTCTTTTGATGTTTATCACATGCTTCTTTATGTTGAGGATGCATTTTTGGTTTGTTGACTGAATAAACGTTCTGTCTTCAATGCTGGATATCTGTGTATTCTGTTGCTTCATCTTTTTGCAGTTTTTTTTTAAAAATGGTAGCACCTGATTGTTTACCAAGAGATTGCCACAAGGCTAAGCCCCTTAAGAGGCATTGCCACCATTGTTACAAGGGTACATTGTCTCAGGATAAGGGGTCAGTTATTTTGGACTGAAATGGGGAAAAATCTCCATACTCTTGCAATTCTTTTGAATTTCTACGCAGGTGGCTATGGTTGCTCAGTCATTGAATATATTCCATACTCTGATAATAGCACCTAGGCAACTAAGGGAATCAAGGGATATGGGGATGAATTAAAAACATGAGCTCAATGTAGAAATTCAGCCATGATTTTATTGAATGGTGGAGCAGGCTTGAGGGAGCAGGTATCTTTCTGCTCCTGTTTCTTATGTTCTCACCATTCCATCACATCTGGCTCCCAATTTTCAGGCATTGAGCCTCAAGTTCACAATGTATCCTGCATGGGCATTGCCTGTGTTTATTGGCAGTTGGTCTTTCCTTGTGGCATTTCCATTGGGTCTAGAATTGTTCTGCCGAATAAGGAGGAATAAACCACAGTTTGTTTCACAGAAAGTTGCTCTCATCAGTCGGCTTCCCTGTGTACTTGACTTTATTGTCGAAGTGGGAAGAGGTGGGTAAGCAATGGCTGATGTCACCCAGGCATTTAAAAGCATGATCTGAAGTGCTGAGATATAATTAACAGGGCTTTGAAAGGCGTAATCAGTATCTATATGATTTAAATAGAAGGATTACTGGCAGCAAACTTGAACCTTTTGGGTCATGCATGCCATTAGCCTGACTGCCATCTGTTGTTATCCTGAGTAGATTAGCAGATTCCAGAGCAAAATGGTAAATCTATATCTCATGTGCCATCGAGTTTCACCCTCACCATTCATGCTTGTGTGACATCACGTTATTATTTCTGTGTCCAGCTTGTGGTTTGCTGCTCTTTTCTGCAGAAGACCTATTGGAATATGTTGCAACTTGATGCTGGGTCCAGTAGAAGCCAGTAGGGTGAAGCATGGACCAATTTAGTTTGGGATTAAGAGGTCAGTACAAGCTTATAAATGGTTAAATGTCCAGGACTACCCTGCTTAAGGTTGCCGGCGTGGTATTTCACTACTCTCCTTGTCAGGCCAACTTAACACTAATAATTCTAACAATTTAAATAGCTCATTATTTTTCTGAAAGTTGCTTCTTGTTTTGTGATGATTATTGATAAAATTTTAGGAACTGTCTTAAAACCGGCTTCCTCAGTAAGGAAGCATATGTGAAGCGAGGAGCTTCCTTTGATGTGTTTGAGGCCAAATCAGTTAACTGCCTCGGTGTTTCTTTTTCTGAATCTCTTTCCATTTACCTGTGAGCTTTGTGTTTCAGGCCGTAGCTCATGAGATCTATTCTGATCTCGTAGATGATGCGTGTCTGGGACTTTGTTTTGAGGTGCATCGAGCTGTAAAGTGTGGTTATTTCTTTTTGGATGAGACGGACCCAGACAGCATGAAGGATTTTGGTAAGTGTATTTGGAATGGATGCTTGCCTTGGATAACTAATGAGGCATTATTTTGTGTTTATCATTTTTTGGCAATAGCTGGGAGCAAAAGTAGAGAATGGTTTATGGACAGGGTTAGTGAAGAAAGGAAATACCCCATTCCTGGTGCCAAACCATAAAGATTGGGGATGTCCCAGGTTCAAGTCTCAGTCAGTGTGGTCAGGATGGCAGATGGGATAATGTCAGTAGTTGCAGAACCCTTCAGGGTAGGGTGAAGAAAAATCAGCTAATGGTCCCAAAGTGACACAAGCTTGAAAGACTGTGTTTGGTTGAGCTACGCCAGAATGGCAGGCTAACACTCACAAGCAGATCTTAAAATTGAAAGTTGGCTGCTCGAGAACTAGCATCTATCAAATTGAGCTGGGGTGACCAAACCTTAGGAGAGGGAGAAAATTGGGTCGATGATATTTTCTTTTAGAGAATTTCAGAGACTAGATGAGCAAATACTGCATTCTGTTCAGAGTAGCATCTTGCCCTGCAGTTCCTATGAATGTTTCTGCCATTTTAGTTGAGCAGTAGCTGTTGTTTTTGGCAAGAAATTGATCGTTTATATAGGCATTGCCAATTATCTTAGTACTGCCATTTGGAATCTTAAATGAAGATAATTTCAGATTCTTCATTGTTATCTTCCATGTGCAGCATGTTAGGCTTAAATTATCAAGAAGAGATTTAGAAGAATTATTTTGTATCAAATTTTTTTTTGCATTTTATTATCAAGTGTGCCCCTTTTCCCACAGTGTGTTTCTTCATCCTGGGTTTCACTTCTTTGTCCTGTTTGGTTAATTTAGTTCCGGACCATTTAAAACTCTCCGCCAACTTTTAAGCTTATTCTGACTGTTTCTTCTACCTTTTTGAGAAAAGTTAAACTGCTAACTTTGGTTAGAACTGATGTGGCGGAGGGGGGTGGGGTTTGTGTTGTTTGTCACAGTCGTAATCTAAGCTGCAGTATTTGATCTGCAATGCTGCAAACTCTTGTCCACTTACGAAGATGTAACGATTTGTTAGGAAATCCACGTTTAGAAATTTTGCAATATGTGGACTGCAAAACCCTGAAATTATTTTTGAAACTTTACCAAAGGAATAAGACAGATGCTCCATTTGATACAACATTACCCAGAACTATACTTGGGAGTTCTTGCCTGAATTGAATAAATGAAGGTGAAACTGATCCTCCACTGTGGACTCTGGGCACTAGCAGTATGCATATACGATCAGTGGTTAGTTAACAGTCCAAAAGATTATTGCTTTGGTTGGATTCAGAACAGGCTATGAAAATCCGTCTTTACAGGACTTTGTTTTATTCTAACATTAATCTAGAGCCATTTTTCAAAATCCTTTGGGTTTTTAGCTGAAAATAAGTTGACTGCAGTTATTAAGTAGCATATTTAAATATCCATTTCCACAGCCTATGCTTTCCTTCATCCTGAAGAGAGACCAACATTTTTTTTAGCCCAATGACAGGTGCCACCAAAAATTGTGCCTATATGCCAAATCATCAGGTTTGAACTGTACATTAGAGGGGACAGATTGGTGATATTCCCCCCCACCCAGTACTGCATTCCATCTTTAAACACTTTCATATAGAACAAGTTGATGCATTTCCAATGTACTGCACACATTTAACCCTCCTACTGGAATTATGAAAAGTTCTATCTCAGTGAGATCTCGTAATTTGGAGTCCCTAGAACAGTGTGATGATTTCATGTTTTCAGAGGAGTATGATAAATTAGTGAGTGGAGCTTTTCAAAGTTTCAAGTCTCTCTTAAAGCAACAAATGCATTAAATTCACAGGTTGTCAGGCATTATATTCAAATATATTCTAAAAGCAAACTGGGTATAATACTTTGTAAAAGAATTTTGGGGTTTCCTCAGAATCCTCACAGCATTTACCTTGTCTTTCCTTTTTAAGCTAGAGGTGTTCCACTACATCTTGTAAGAGGAGGAAACATGTGACTATCCTTGAGCCAAATCCAAGAGTAAATTCATCTGTGTCAGGACGAGACTGTGTAATTTTTATCCATCCACTGTTTCTTTTATAGTGGATCATATGTATATGAAAATACTTCATTTGCTGTAGGAATGCCAATAAATGAAGCAGTCAATGCATCTCGCAGCAGTGGGGGAAACTGTGAAGCCTACCTGAAAGGAAATGGTACATATTTCTGATCTCCGTTCTTTATCCGAATGCTGTAAGCAGAGGGATTAGGATAATTAGGAATTGTATTTGAGGGCAAGGGAATAGGACATACTCATAAGTTTGAAGAGTGCTTTTTAAAGTGGGGATTGAAGAGAACTATTGGACTTGAAGACTGTTGTTCAAATTCTGTATCAAAATTTACTGCTGGCACAAATACAGCACAGATTTTGAGCAACTTGTAAATTACAGCAGAGCGAGGGAAGTATAACCACGTTGGCAACATTTTTCAATAAACTAATTAGTGACATTCACATGTATTTCAGAAATCGTGGACCAGCCAGGTGTGGACATTTTCGGTCAAGTCTACAACCAGTGGAAGAACAAGGAGTGTGAATGTCCAAACTGCAGTCGAAGTATTGCTGCCTCCCGCTTTGCTCCCCACCTGGAAAAGTGCTTGGGAATGGGACGCAACAGTAGTCGGATTGCTAACAGGAGGTCAGCTAACTGCCTGAACAAAGACAAAATGCTATAGTGTTGGAAATCTAAAACAAGTGCAGAGAATGCTAAAGAAACTCAGCAGGTCTGGCAGCATCTGTGGAGTGAGAAACGGAGTTAACATTTTGCGTCTGGTATGACTCATCTTTAGAACTGAAAAAGAGTCATATTCAACTTGAAACATCAACTGTTTCTCTCCACAGCTTCTGTCAAACCTTCTGAGTTTCTCTAGCATTCCCTGTGTTTGTACCTGAGCTAAGGTTCTCTTTGGAATCATAGAGCTCTACAGCATGGAATCACACTCTTCGGTCCAACTTGTCCATGCCGACTAGATATCCTAAATTAATCTAGTCCCGTTTGCCAGCATTTGGCCCATATTTCTCTAAACCTTTCCTATTTGTGTAATCCTCCAAATGCCTTTCAAGTGTTGTCATTGTACCAGCCTCCACTACTTTCTCTGACAGCTCATTACATGAATGCCCCACTGTCTGCGTGAAAAAGTTGCCCCTTAGGTCCCTTTTGTATCTTTTCCCCCTCATCGTAAACCTATGGCCTCTAGTTTTGGACTCCCCTACCCTGGAAGAAAGACCTTGACTATTCACCTTATCCATGCCCCTCATGATTTTATAAACCTCTACAAGGTCACCCCTCAGCTTCTGACACTCCAAGGAAAATAGCCCCAACCTATTCAACCTCTGCCTATAGGTCAAACCCTCCAACCCTGTCAACATCCTTGTAAATCTTTTCTGAACGCTTTCAAGTATAACAACATCTTTCCTATAGCAGAGAGGCTAGAACTGAATGTAGTATTCCAAAAGTGGCCTAACCAAATGCCCTGTACAGCCACAATATGATCTCCCAACTCCAATACTCAATGCACTGACCAGTAAAGGCAAGTGTACCAGATGCCGCCTTCACTATTCTATCTACCTGTGACTCCACTTTCAAGGAACTATGAACCTGCCTCCCAAGGTTTCTGTGTTCGGCAACGCTCCCCAGGGCACTAACCTTAAGTATGTAAGTCCTGCCCTGATTTGCCTTACCAAAATGCAACACTTTACATTTATCTGAATTAAACTCCATCTGCCACTCCTCAGCCCATCTGATCGAGGTCCTGCTGTACTCAGAAATAACCTTCTTCACTGTCCACTACACTGCGAATTTTGGTGTCATCTGCAAACTTACTAACCTTTCCCCCTATAATCACATCCAAATCAAATCACTTGTATAAATAACAAAACAACATTGAACCAAGCATCATTTCTTGTGTCATAAATAAAGCCCTTGAAGCATGCATTAAAAAAAGCTTTTATTTACAGAGAGATGTGGTACCATGCATCTTCAAATTCAATAGGCAGAGTTTTGGTCTACTCCTGGTTATTCTAATCAATCTGTTGGACATATTATTAAATGCACCCAGGCCAACTGGAACTTGAACCCTGGCCTTATGGTCAGTCAGCTTCTGGATATTTTTAATTAACCTCTTCGGACATGTTGCAACATGCCTCTGCAGCAGCTATAGCTTGAACCAGCGGTAGGGACACTACCACTGAACTGCAAAACCCTTAATAACATGTTTTGTTTTTAACCAACCATGGACACATCTCCATGGCCATCTCATCCTAAGATGGATTTGAACTAGGACCTTCTGTCCTCAAGGTAAGGACCCTACCACTGCACTGAAGACCCTTCAGTCTGCTTTTGTTATTTTAAATTAAACTTTTCAGAATTGCATGATACTCCTCTAATCTACTGGCCCAGATAGATATACTGCCACTGCACCACACGATCCTCCACTCTACTGTACATAGGAAAATATGTGAATTGCCAGTTAATGCCCTCTGTCTGAATACAGTTAACAATTTCCATAGAGTCTAGTAGATGGAAGCATTTAGTAGCAAACCTGTCAAACTTTGCCAAATTGCTAAATGTCCTCACTCCAAGATACGCTTTGTATTTAGCCACCTTTTGTAAATTTACATGTTTGTGAATAGGTGCTATGATTATAACCACTGGCGTCATTTTAGGCATGGAGCATGAATGTAATAGGGGTGATGTGTATTTCATTTTATGTTGTAGAATAGCCAGTAGCAACAACCTCAGCAAATCTGAAAGTGACCAAGAGGATAATGATGACATCAATGATAATGACTGGTCGTATGGATCTGAAAAGAAAGGTAAATTTTATCACTGTTTATTATCCTTGGCCCTTGGATCGAAATATATTCAATATGCATATGCAGTCTAGCACCTCAAGTTTACTGGTGATATTTTTCTGTTTTTGTCTTAAATGCTTGCTAGGCTAGTTTGGTGTAACCCAAAATAGGTTTTCACTTGATGGTTGTATTCATTTATGCCCCTTGTGGGCACTAGATCTTTGAAACTATTTTTGCTGCTAGTTAACACTTTCTTTTTCTTTTACTTCATTTAGCCAAGAAAAGAAAATCTGATAAGGTATGTACCTGCCTAGAGTTACTTGTATTTCAGGAGAGAGAAGCTCCTGTTTTTTTGCCTCAATGGTAGGTACAACCAACCACTGCTGCTGCTTAAAGAATTGTTTCTGTCTTTCAGAATCCCAATTCACCACGGAGATCCAAATCTCTCAAACATAAAAATGGTGAGTTTGTTTTGCAGAGCTGCTGCTGTCATTTCGCCGAATGTACACTAATGCAAATCTGGTGCCTTTATTTTTCACTTAAAGCCTCTAGGTAGAGAGAACTCTCCCAGTGATTCAGCACTTTAATGCTGTCCGTACCTAGAATGTATAAGTTGCGGTTTATTCCTGGTTTGATTCCTGCTCCCTGCTTAGCATCGAGTAGTTGGATGAATGCAGTGCTGCATTAAGAAAATCAATTGGGTTGCTTCTGTTTTGGTTTTTTTTAATCTATTTCTCAATTTATTTATTTCCTAAATAATGAAATACCAGAGACTCAAAACACTAGAACACAAGGATCAACCACATACACGAACCTAGCAGCAAAAAATGCAAGCTAATCGTCAAAGCACTCTTTTTGCAATTCAAACTTTGTGAAGAACTCATATTTTCAACATGTAGCAACATCCAACTTATAAGTCATGTTTCTCTTTGAACTTTTTGTTGCTTTATAGGATACAAGTGATAACTGGGTATGTTTTTAATTTCTGTCACAGAATGCAAAAAATTGAAATGGTAATCCAATTCTTAGGTCAGCCAGTCCTACTTGCTGAAGACAAAGTTCAAGAAGCACGAATTTCAGAAACTGTAACCACTGGAGGCAGTTGAACAGTATCAAATGAGGAAGGGAATCACCAATATTGAAAATATTTAGTGTTTAATGATTCTCAATTTAACGGCATCATTGTGGCTTTGCAGAAGTGCATCGTGAACCCCAAATAATTTATTAAGTAAATTTACTGAAGTACGGCACGGAGGCTTAGGCTTCATGTTTGATACCTGATCAGTGCTGACTCTAATTTCAGTAGAGTGGAAGGTGGAGATGTTTAATTTTGTTTCATGCCAGTGGGCACATTAAGAAAATTTCACCATGGTTTCTATTCCTTAGTGCTGTGACTCTCACTACTGGATGTGCCTGTGGATAATAGCAAGCTTTAGTTGTATCACGTGTATAGGTTGCTAACATTCATTCTCTAGGTTCATCCATGATGAACGACTACACGAGAAAAGCACCAGATAGCAGCTTAGACCTATAGAAATCATGGGGAAGAGGAAAAAGAAAGTCTTTTGTTTTTATGTACTGTGTGAAACTGAGGTACACTTTCTAATCAGGGAATGAAGCTCTCCTTTCTCTTCTAGGTAAGACCCTGAAGTAGATGAGAGAGCTTTGTATTAAATTATTTATCGTTTTTTTGTTTTGCAGGAGAACTCGGTGGAAACTCTGATCCGTATAAGGTAATAATACTCACTTTTGTGTTGCCTATTTGGTTGTGTGTATGATCCACAATTTATTGTGTTTATTTGATTTGTAAATTAGTGCATAGGACTGAGTAGCGGAGATAACAAGAACTGCAGATGCTGGAGTCAGAGTCAATACAGTGGAGCTGGAGGAACACAGCAGGTCAGGCAGCATCAGAGGAGCAGAAGAATTGATGTTTCGGGTGAGGACCCTTCATCCTTCCTGATGAAGGGTTTCGACCCGAAATGTCAACTTTCCTGCTCCTCTGATGCTGCCTTACTTGCTGTGTTCCTTCAGCTCCACCCCGACGAATGAGTAATGTCCTATTAGGTGACCCAACCAGCAAATATAAAATACTGCCTTTCTAGTTAAATGCCCGTCATTGCAATTAGGTTTCTGTATTGTCAAAATAATCATTCATTCCTTAGTTTGTCACGGTTTTACTTTTGTATTAAACATTTTGCATTGTTTGAGTATTGTCTAATAACGACATCAATTAGGCAATTGGGTTTGTTACTAATTTTCATCCATTTTTAATGATCTCCATGACCTTTCCCCTCCCTGTCCCTGTAATCTCCTCCAATACTCCAAGCTATGTGGTTCTCTAATTCTAGCTCATTAAACAACTGGTAGCAATGGCTTCCCCATTGGTAACTGTGCCTTCAGTTGCCCATGCCCTGAGCTGTTTTGTGGTATCTTTGTGCCTCTTCACTTATTCTGTCTCACTTTCCTCCTTTCATGATACTACTTAAAATCTACCTCTTTGTCATCTGACCTGGTATCTCCTTGTGTAGCTCAGTGTAATGTTATGTTTTATACTTACGCACTGTGGGACTTCCTTTATGGTAAAAGAGCTATATCGGTACAAGTTGATGCTATCGAAAGTTCTCTGCTTATGCTTTGAAGTTATCTTTGAAAAGACTGCTTATCAGTGGTATTAGTAGTTCTGTTTGAGGTGGCCTCATGTTTTATTTGAGTAGCGTGTGCTTGCTTTCTTGTGTGTCTCATTTGCACCTATTAAGGGCATCTGCATTTGAAGTGTTTTTTGTTATGAATTGATGAAAATGAAATAGAAGGAAATTGACATTGTCCCTGAAATGGGAATTTTTCATGTCACCCATGGTTAGAAAGACATCTGCAAGACAAAAGTTTGTCACCTGGAAATAAATCCTTTAAAAGCCTGTGTAGTACAACACCACTTGGATACTACCAGCATTGCTTAAAATAGATTTTTCCCAAATGCTTTTTTCCATTGTAATCAACCTAGAGGTAGTAATTAGCATTCTGCGGCAATATGTTGGGAAATTTAGACATGCTGACTCAATCCAAATATAGTTTCAATTCAGAAAAACAGTTTGATTAAGGTTATCAAATGAAACCATGTTTAATAAACACTTTGTAGAGGCTCATCCTCAAGTCCTGAGAATCCGTCAAATCTAGATTGCCTGCATGCTGACAAATTGGGAAGTTCTGTTTGCTGTCTAAGACATTGTTTTAGCTTATAGTTCTGCCAAGTCCATGCCCTATACTCGCAATATTAACTTGTTTCAGAAATGAGATTATGGTCTTTTGAAATGACTGTTTGGTCTTGGTCACCTTAAGACAAGTAACCATTTGCTAAGAGGCGTTTTTGACTGGAGAATATGGCATTAAGAGATGAAAGTCTTTTGATATCGAAACGTGGAACCCTAAAGTAGTAGGGGACAATTTGGCTCAGAGCTCTTTGAAAAAATGATCCAGTTTGTGATAACTATCTAGATCTTTCTGTTGTTATGAGAATGATAGAATCAGTGGTTTGCACTGCCCTAATAGGGCGAGGAACCGGTACGTTCTCGATCAACACTAATTCTCTTAATCTACAAACACTGTTTCCAGCTATCTATTCCACCCTCATCACATGTCTGAAGCTCAACCAGATTGTTAGAACCTTGATGTCATATTTAAACCTGAGGTGAGCTTCCAACCATTGGTTCACAAAGCTAGTTTATTTCCATCTCCATGATTTTACCTGATTTTTGCACCTGCCTGCACACATGAAAGGAAATGAATTTGACTTAGTTTGGTGTTCTCGTTTTCTTCAGCCATCTGCATAGAGAGGAGCCAGGTAAAATCCCTTATGGCCCATTTCTCAGGACCACCTCAAAATGAGTACACTTTTTGTGTTGGTGGTAGAAAATAAGTCAGTGAAATTATTGACATTCTTTCCCATACTGCTAGCCTGTCTGCTCTTGGTTTACTTTTACCGCCATCATAATCTCTCCACTCCTCCTCCCCATTCCTTCACCCCCGTGCAGAAATCCCTGAATAGCAAGATGAGATCCAATCAGTTGACAAGTTGCGTGTTTCCCTGATGCATTGAACAGGACAATGGGTCATTAGTACAGGAAAAGACTGAAATAAACTCTTGGTCTTGACAGTGATACTTGTTTCTATTCTTTAACACAGTACAGTAATAATTCTGGCATCAACTATGAAAGCCTGGGTCCTGAAGAGTTGCGTTCGTTGCTTACAACGGTGAGTGTTGAATGATGTTAGAAAACTGGACAGCCCTTGAAGTACAGCAATGAGAATTTCAATGCCCATAGTTGCTTGTGAGTTGTTCGTTTTTTAAGCCAGATTCCTTCAGATGTTCTCAGTAAATCTGTCTTTTTCTTTTCCCAGCAATGTGGAGTCATTTCAGAACACACCAAGAAAATGTGCACAAGGTACGAGCCCTACAAAATAGCTGGTCTGGAAACAAGATGTCCCACTGATGGAGTCTCTGGAACGATACATAACTATTGCCTATCATATGTTTTTTAACCTGCCTCTTGAAAATCCCCTTAACAAAGATTCATAAACTGTCAAGGTTTGAATCAATGGCAAATCATGGAGTTGGTAATGAAGCATGTAGGGATGTAAAGATAAACTGTGTGAACAAAGGGCATGAAGAAAATAGCAGTAGAATAACAGTGTGTGTTCCCAACACAAGATGAGGTGCAAACACTAAAATGGACGCCATGATTCCTTTGCATAGGTGCAGTCATACCCATGATATCACTCATGTAGTGAAACGGAGCCTTTTGTGAAAAAGCAACAGCTTTTGATGCAAGTTTAAACATTGCAAACAACATACAGCCATTATCTCTAAAAAGCTTATATATTTTAATGCTGACGATATAAATATGATCAAACCGATATCAACACAATTAAAAGTAGCCTTCTGCCAGAACATTAGGAGGAAAGTGTTGAGGTTGAGAATATACAGGCCAAAAAGGGAAGCTCCATAATGATGCAGATTTTTGGCCTAGGTGACTTTTTATATGCATTTATTTATAGCATACTTCATATTGCTGCTAACTCCGAGTTTAAGAGCCACACTCTGATCTTGCTCGTGCATGCACAGTGTTTCACTTAACAGTGGCATTGGCCACAATGGAGCTATAGAATAAAGTAATTTTAGAAAAGCGAGGAATCAGGAGCAGGGATATGTGAAGCCGTCTAAAATGAATTTCGGAGTTCATCTAGGCAAATGCACTGCAAATAAGGATTGTGCACTGTTGGCACTAATAACCGTACTGGAATATTTATATGGTGCCAGTAACAGAGATCGGGCTGAAAGAAGTGGGAAATCAGTAACTTAATATTCCTGGCTGCAATTCATTCAGTAAAAAGAATAGTGTGAGACCATGCTGTTGAAATAAAGTATTATAACTTTGGAAAGAACTGATGTATGAGTGAAACAGTAGAAGCCCGTGAGAGAGACTGTAGAATTGAACAACTCAAAAAGAGGATATTCAGCCCATCAAGTTTACCCTGGCAATAATCCAATTAGTCTCTCACCTCTAATCTTCCCCAAATTCTCTGCAAGTATTTATTCAATTTCCTTTCACAAGCTACCACTGAATCTGAAATTTGATACCTATCAGGCATTGCATTCCAAATCCTAACCAGTCATTGGACCAAATAAAGATTTTGAATCTGATGCAGGTTGCAGACATTTTACTATTGGCGACATAGGTAGGAGATAATTGTACTTTAATGATACACTGGGAGATATTGCTGGCTGTGGCCATTGCTGAAGTTGCTATACCTGGGAGATGGCATCTCTGGCCCAACACCCTCAAAGAGCAGGTAAGTGAAGTGCAGGGTGCCAGGCAAGAGAGACCCTGTTGGAATATGAGGATCAATGATTATAATATTATCTGTTTGAGAATAGTTGCACCTCATTGTTTCTTGTTGCTGTAAATATGCCTACCTGAAGGAGTGTTGATTTCAGTGAGTATAAATGGAAATAGGCCCACGTGGAATGGAATCAGAAGATGGTTGGCAAAATGTGTGTTGAACAGTAGGAGGCCTTCAGAATGGAAATTTGGAGAGGGAGAAAGGTGGGAAGTCTGTACTAGATTAATAAGGATATAGAAGGAGAAATTCAATTGGGCAGTACCTGTAGACTTTGTGGGAGCAGTGAGCCATGTGGCCTATTCTGCATTCTTCATATCACTGAAGCAGCTTTATGTGAATAAAAGCTTTCTCCCGTAGAAATGAAAATGAAACAGAAAAAGGAAACTTTTGAAAACGTAAGGTTCATAATGCAATAGAAAACTGAGCTGAGTGCAGTGAGGAACAGTGGAGCAAAGAAAGTGTGAGAATAGAATGGCAATTAATGTAAAAGGAAAACCAAAACCAAAATCTTTTCAAAACATCTAAATAGTGAAGAGGGAAGTCCATGGAAGGGTGGGAATGATTAGGCGACAGGAAGGAGATCTTATGGACACAGAACCTGGTACTCTGCTTTGTATCTCTACTTAATAGAGACAAGGAAGCTTCCAGTGTCACAGCGAAGGAGGAGGTCATGAATGAGAAATCGGCTAAGTTGCAGAAAGTCAGATGTTGTGGTGAAGATCTACTTTTCAGACTAATGTGAAGTATAACATAGCGTTTCCTAGGTATTGGTATTGGGATGTACATTAGTCACCCAGACTTGGATAAATGGCATGTAATTTCAAAGTTTGCAGATAACATAAAAATTTGAAATGCGCTAAACAAAAAGGATGGTATCGGGGGACATCGACTGATGAATTGGACAAATGTGGCAGATGGCAGAGAAGTGCGAAGGGATATATTTTGGTAGGAAGAATGAAAGAGGCAGTACGAACAAAGTGCAGTTTTGGAGATGCAAGGAGAGAGATACCTGGTTGGTATCTGTATAGAAATCTTGGAAGGTGAAAGGCCAAATTGAAAGGACTATTGAAAACAGAATGTGGATTCCTTTATTTTATTACATAAAGATATAAGCATATAAAAGCAGAGAAGCTATTCTAAACTTTCCTGAAACATTGGTTAGACCTCCGCTGCAGTATTTTCAGTTTTGGGCATCAAGGGCTAGGAAGGACATCCAGGCTACAAAGAAGTTACAGAATAGGTTCATTGGAGTGATACCAGGAATGATAGACCTCTGTTGTATGAAGAAGCACGAGTTGTCCTTCTTTTGAGCTGGGAAGGTGATGAGATTTGACAGTGGGAGTAAGTGTCGGAAAGATTGGTAACCAAAGGATTGTTTCTGACTTACATTTTAGGTTAGCCCTAAGGTGAATGGCAAGAGAAGCAGAGGGAAACGTGAGGGCATGGTTAAGAAATGAGTTGTTGTGATCAGGAATGCACTGCCTGAAACAATGGGGGAAGCAGATTCAACTGTAACTTTGTAAAGAAAAATAGATAAATCCTTGAAGGAGAAAATAAGTTGAGGCTAAAGGCAAAGAAGCCATGGAGTGGGCCATGATGGACCAAGTGCTATATTATCTTATGGTACTTTGATTAATGGAATTATAAATGAGTATTTGTGTCGTCAGTCCAGTGATGTATTTGAAGATGCATTTTTAAAAATATATTTAAGCCTGAGGGGGTACAATGTTATTTGAAACTTTGAGGTACAAACACAACAACGCCAGTGGAATAAATAATGGTGTTTGGCTGATTAATGCATGTAGCAGAAAACCAATTGCTGCAAATGGAGGACAAAGCAACAGAATATTTTAAAATGCCAACTTTTAATCCCTGTAGCTGAATTGCAATAATACTTGTTTGTTGGAGCATAAGCACCACTGGACCTATTAGGCCAAATGGTGTGTTTTTATATTTGATAGCGGGAGAGATGGCTAGTACCCCTGAGGCAACCGTTATACACAGTACTAAATGCTTACCCTCAATGCAGGCACACTGTACACTGTGTATAGCACTAGGTGGTATTTTCTGTTTAACTACTGCTCACTGTTGGCTTTCAGATCATTGCGGTGCCCTCAACACACAGATGAGCAGCGGCGGTCTGTACGGGTCTATCTCCTGGGATCTTCAGTGTAAGTCAGATAAGTGAGGAAGTGAAGTTAATTCATTCCAGCGAGTTTGAAAAGGGAGTTGTTTAGGTTTTTTCTTTTAATATCTAGATCACACAGTGAGATGTTTTCAGTGAACTCCTTGAATTAAACCTGGGAATTTGCTGTTCAAATATGTTATAATCTGAACTGTTTTACGTGCATCAACCGCAATATCCAGTAGTTCCTCATCCCACATTTATCCTAATTAAAACTTGATATTTTTTCTCCCACCCATTAATGAAAATAGTGATAAGCAACTCATTTTAACTGTGAAAATATGTATCTTGCTGTGTTTGCTCTGAAATATTGACCTAAATGATTACCTGTTTAGCAACTCGACCACATGCACTTGCATGTGGGCAATACCCGTTTACAAAATTGTTGGTAGTTCCCTCCTTCTGTGCTAAGGTTAGACCATGTCCTCCTTATGTCATGAATAAGAACACTGGAATATAAAGCAGTAAACCAGAAAAGATTTGAGAGGTACATTATTGATCAAATGGGAGAGCCACTGAGGCAGACAATGGGGGAAAAAAAATGTTTGAGACATCTTTGTCCAAAGAATGCAGAGATTAAGGGCTGTGGTAAGAAAGCGGTTAAGTGGGTAGAAATACTAATAGGGCAGACTTAGAAATGAGAAAATATCATCCAATATCCCTATATTTTTCTGTAAAATAATCACAAGCCATAACGGATAAATATGCTCTGACCTCATATCAGGACAGGAGGAAGCAAAGCAATTTAATCCTTGATCCTGTAATGCAATGATAGTTCAATTCATTGCAGCCATCAGTCTCTTTCCATTTGCTGTATCACTGCTTATGAATCAGTCTAAGGGGTTACAGTAATAATTGCAGTGTGACTGCAGAATGCTGTGTTTGCTTAGACTTACTTTTGCCTCGTTTCAGATCCCTTCCGGAATCGGAAGTAAGCGTAGAAAATGAGAGTTATGATCCCTCTGAGAGCCAGGGTTTTATGAGCCGACTGCAATGGGATGGCACGTCAGACATTTCGCCTTCTGACTCAGCATCTTCCAAAGCAAGTGAGTGTCTGTCTGTTTTATGGTTGGTAATGCTAGACTAGTGAAATGAACCACCGGACCAGTATAATTTCCAAGGTCACAGTTATGCTTCCGTTGCAGCCTTACTGCAGCATGTTTGCTGAGGAATTGGGATTTCTTTTAGTATAGTGGGATTTGGCACTACTGCTATTTCCTGAGTCTTACTGCTTTGGGGGAAGGTAAATTAACTTTTTGTTTTCTCCCATTATATTATTAGGATTCTGATCCATGATGTTGGATGTGAGTTCATTGGTGCTGACAGCCCCTCTGGTATATTGCTCAAGTGGTCATTTTTGACCTCTGAACCTAAACAGTGAGTGCCGGTAGCATAGCTTGACATGTGAACCCTATTCTGCCCACACTTGCATTTGAAACGTCGTAACAGTGCTTTCATTGTAAAGTGCCTCCTCATCTCCTGCTGTGTCTTGTATCTTCACAGCGGAGCAGTGTTCCCCGTAAGCTGCGTGGCCGCAAAGCAAACTGAATGTCCACTCAGGTCACGTGCACATCTGCCACTTTCAAGCAGAGGTGCTTCAACATGATAAATGATTGATATTTGGTACAATTTATTGTGTATTACTATTCTTTGGTGGCGTTACTATTGTTAGCTTTGTAATTTGACTAGAATGCCTGGATGATCGTCCTCTTAGATAACTAGTAATGAATTTAAGAATTTATTTCCAGTAGTGAACCTTTGTGGTTGGTATTGGGTATAATTTGCGTGCTGTTGCTTTTGATACCCAGCTGTTTAAACCTGAAGTAGGGTAGATGGGCGTCTGCCTGTTTTGTTTCTGAAAGTGTGTAAAATGACCTTCAGTGTGCCAGCGTGTGTTGCTAACACATTTTATTCTTCCATATGAAGGTACCAACAATTCTGACTCCAAAAAGAGCAAAAAAAAGAAGCCTCACCTTGGTCTCCCTAGTGCGCCTGGCATGAGCTCCAGTAAAAAGAAGAAACTGAAAGCACCAGCTCCGCCCACTCCCAGCATATACGATGACATCAACTGAAGGAAGTGGTGCTACTTCTATTTTTTCTCCAGTTCTGTCTCGGCAAGTTTCACTTTGGCGATTCCTGTGAAGAGGTGGACACTTGCTAAGTGGATTAGCTTCAAGACTGTTACTTGACCCTAGGATGCTTTGGTGCTGAAGGCTTCATTCTATAATGGTTGACATTAACTTTTCCTATTTATTATTTAAAGAATGAGGGATTTTGCTGGGTATACAAAGCTGATGAAATGTTGCAGTTGGATTGCGTTAATGTGTCTGGGTCATCTATAATGAATACTCAAGCCTGAAGCTGCCACTCATTTTGGACTTCCATCCAGATCAACCTTATCCCTTTTTTTTTGCCAATCCCAGCTATAAGTTTACAACCCCCTCCCTCCCCCTGTTGTGCGCAGTGCAACGTTTTGTGATGCCTCATTACTGGTCATGATATTTGTGTGCCAACCATATGAAGTTTGCCTTTTCAGCAGAGCACAGGTTATTCACTGTGGAACTTTGTGGAGTTACTGTGTATTTATCAAAGGCTAGGGTTTCTGATCAAAGTATTCTTCATAAAAGCTGGGAAGCACAAAGGAGCAGTCAGGATACGTTAGCATGCATAGAATTTAAAAGTTTAGTAAGTTTTAAAAGATGCATTTCTGGAGAGGGATTTGATCTGATCATTCCAGTAACTGAGGCCAGCATCACAAACAGAAACCTTTCACGGGCTTATTCAGACTGTACTTCAAAAGTTAGTTCAATGCACCTTTTTAGAAGTTCCAGCCTACTCCAAATCTTCTGCAAGATTAATTGAAATGTGCATATACTTACTGAAGGGTGTTTCTCTTTCATCTTGCAATAACTCCCATGACCTGTATTGTTTATGATCTCCAAAGGATTGACCACTCTGAACTGTGGCCCAGCATTTCACTTTTTGAATGATGGTAGTAAGCAAATGTAATAATGATATGGACCTGAAGGACAGAAATTGATTTCTTAATGAAGCCAACATCTTGAAACCCTTTGTGCTGAATATGATCTCTTGTGGGTTTGAAATTCAGTCTGGCAGTACCAGGTATCTGTTTCTTTCCACTGTGGTCAATTGTAATTGAGACACTTGGATGCCATTTTTGTCAGCTTTGAGTAAAGCAGCACAGAAGATGGATGGACAGTAGCAAACCTTAAAGTCCCTTTTGGTTAACACCAGATACATCCAAGTGGTCAAGACAGGAACTGTTTACAGCATGTTTGTTATATAGTGATCACTGTGACATAGCCTAACACCTTGGTCACAGATATCTGTACTAATGGATGGACTACGATGACTGCATGTGAATGCTCTCCAGACTGGAAAGTCTTTGTCAGTAAATTCTTATGAAACTGCCTTTCTTTCTTCCATTCTTACAGATATCATAACATTGTTTAACCCAAACTGAGTACCCAATATGCGTTAATGAGAGGTACTTGGAGAAAGAGATATTGTCACCACTTTTCAAAACAGAATGTCATTTGCGTGTGGGACCAAATTGGAGTAGGCATTTCATTGTGTTTACATCTGAGAAGCTGGAAATTTAGTCTTTTTCGAAGTTTATACATTAGCAAACCTAAGATGGGTGAGGTCTGGATTGCTTCTTGACATTATAATTGTTGGGAGAAGTGGTCTATGCGTTGCTTCCTGCCAGGCAGCATGATGTTGCCCAACACTAAAAAAAACCATTGCACTTTACGTCTGATTGTGTGTGTGCTGAACTCAAGGTTCTTCTGGACTTGATATGGCCCTTTCTCAGGGCACTGAGAAAAGAACCAACGCAACTGTTGTGAAATGCTTTGCGGTTGAAACTGACTGTCACAGATTTCGAAGAAAGGAAAACAAAGAAAATCATGAATAAATTCAGCAAATGCCTTGCATTTGTATTTTATGTTGTAGCCAGCTGTCCTGCGTAGCACATGGACCGTGTTCTTTTTGAATTATTATGTAATATGACTAAAACTTGTGCTTCCAGTTTTGTTGCATCTTGACTATAAAACAGTGTAAATCAAGGAATAACGGCAATGGAACAAATCCTTGCTGTGCAGAGATGCTGC